CGCCATCTATTGTCGACGATTCTTACAACGTCTAACGGTATCTCATAGGAAGCACGAATTTCTGACTCCAGTAGCGCAAGATCACATGGACGTGGTCTTCATACTTGTAGTATTTTTGTATAACTTTCAGCATAAGTACGTGTGCGCATTCTTTAGTACATTTAGCAGCCCGGAGCAGACCCGAGGAGGCTTCTTTCTTTTTCAAGTTCTCCTGAAAGCATTAACTGCAATTTATTGTTGCTAAAAGTTTATCTAAAAACATATTAATCAAATTAACAATGTGCATTTACTTTATTCAAGAAGGATTGCTTGTAAAAAGGGAAAGTTCAGACTTTAGAGGTACGAAATATTCTGCACGTTGCTGTGCTTAGACATTACTTTCACCGAAATTTGGTGTTGGCGTAACGCAAAACCTTCTTAGAATTTACCCAGAACCCTTTTAAGTAATATTACCTTGCAGACAAATTAAGAGCTACGTCCATTGCTCCACTAAACCAATGTCCAAAATTACTTCAAACATTTTATCGCTTTGAGTTCTAAGGTTTCAAGTGACTCTCTAAATGATAATGTAATGTAGCAACAATATTTAATTAATAATATATTGAACGTTGAAAGGTTGTGGAAATGTGAGAAAAATTACAATTGTGAAAATAGCATTTAAAGGTTTGACATCACTTGATAATAGAAAAAGGACTATAAGTCTTATGTCATATAGTATTACCTGAAATTAAAGTACACTTTTTCCACCATTTGTATGAGTACTAATTTAGTAAAAGAAAAGTCGAAAAATTAAGCATATCTCTAGATATCCATGTGTTTTGCTTTCTTAACGTGTCCCGCAGTGGACTTATTGAAAAGATAGTGTTCCCAGTAGAACACTGAAGTCAAACTTCACTGGCAGCTGGCAGTAAGCGGTTTTGGGATCACTTTGATCAGCCTGCGTAGGGATCAAGGGTGTGAGGTATCGGTCCTCGTTAAACTGTTCTACCGTAAAGTCTACCGACTTCACTCTCAGATCTTCTGGCTACCAAAGCAGGGAAGCCATCACCTCTGCAGAGGATCAAAATTGCAATGGCATGTCTTCGGATCATTCTCAGGGATATTTTCCAGATCATCATTAATAGCCCATTGTGCAGCTATAGTGCGACATAAGTAGAGTAACTACCTACCTACATTAACGTGTTTCAAGTCTCTCACCTAATTTTTAATTTCTTCTCCTTTTTCAGAACAGTTAGAGATAGAAATGAAGCACCATACGGGATCAAAAATACAAATCCAGTATTCTCTGTTTGTGGGCGACGAGAAAGATATCATTCATACCATCCATTTGAAAGTGCCCTCGACTTTCACAGCTTTCCAAGTGATGCAGTCAGCAGAAACGGAAGATCCTAAGTACAAGTGAGTAGCAAACAAACAGATCACCCTGATGACTGTTCGGAAACGTTATAACAGGAATAAAACAGCAATACTTATAATTTAAATTCATAAAACATTCATATTAGGGTCAGTAAAATGAAAAATCACTGCAAATTGAATTGAATTTGCCTTGACACTGAAATTATGATATTGAATTTTCTTCATTCAGATGTGAATGAAATAAAGTTCTAATACATTTATCCAATTTGGAGACGAGCCGATCGATTCCTGCCTTGTAGACAGATCACTAACTGATCCACGCCCTCATCACTGTTGTTTTACATCGTCCGAATGAAACCGGTTTACACGAATGTCTTTTTTTAGGTCATTAAAGTGACAAAATGAAAGATCTGGTTACTACGGTGAATGTTGAAGTATTTTGCAGCAACATTTTTAGCATTCATCGGGCTTTCCCGGATGACACTAACAATCCCCAGAACACTATCATCTGATCTAATGGCTCAAATGGTCTATCCATCTCATGTGCATCTTAAGAGGAATTTTTCTGCCACCTGTCCACGCATGTCAGGGNTTACTACGGTGAATGTTGAAGTATTTTGCAGCAACATTTTTAGCATTCATCGGGCTTTCCCGGATGACACTAACAATCCCCAGAACACTATCATCTGATCTAATGGCTCAAATGGTCTATCCATCTCATGTGCATCTTAAGAGGAATTTTTCTGCCACCTGTCCACGCATGTCAGGGTTATTTAGCAAACATGTGACGTGTTCAGTCACCAAGAAATGGACCAGACTTCTATGTTCATCTCTGATTACCACCATTTCCAGTGATGAAAAAAAACAGTCAGCAGAGAAAACTTTGTACGTTTTCACTATGCATATTTTCTAGCTTACAGTAATGAAACGTAACAGTGCTGTAGACAAATGTGTTTATGGTAAATGTTCAGTTTTTATTCCCTCATTTTTAAGAACCTGATGTTACGCAACGTTTAAAGAAGAAACTCCCTCACAAAACTATCAGAACTAACTATCATCAATCCTTGTCGAGATTAGGAAAAACAGGAATGGTGTTAAAATCCTTTAAATTTCATTTATTTAGATGAGTTTGATATGGATTTTTTTCCTTCTAATTCCTAATGTAAGAGAATGTACAACAGTTTTTGTGATGGCATCAATTTTATAACTACTGAAAATATGATATATTAATAGAAAATTTACTTGAGTTCTCCCTCCATGGAATTTCCGATTTCTTTCTTTTTTGTAAGCTTATAATGTGATAAATTTTCACTTAAATGACGTGCAAAATATTTTTTAGAAATGAATAAAGGGTAAAAAATGTGTCGCAAATAGTTTGAAATGTAAAGCAAATGGAATAAAAAAGATCAATATAATAAAACAATATAAAATGTAAATATCTATTCTAAAACTATCAACCTCCAATATTTTTTTGTTACATTTTCTTTCAATTGAGTTATTATCCCGTAATTCCAACGTATTTATGAAAATTGTTACAGATAAGCTTCTCTAACGAACTGTCAGAGACACGCGGAATGCCAATGTGCACCAATTTCTGCTCCAATGCAATTAAAATTTAAGTAAGCAACAGATCGTTATCCGTACTTTTATTAAATGATCTAAAAAAAGCTTTGTTGTAATGCTAACATGCGAAACCCATACTCAAACAGTAAAGCAAATTTATACGCAATCACAAATTGTTCAGCAAAGAATACTTATTATATAGTTGTTATCTCGTATTGAATCAATTGATTTCTACCTATCGTATAACTTCCTGATTAAAAATAATTATCATTTTTATTCTAGATTCCAATGGAAAAAAGTCTTTGATAAAATAGATGTGTACAAAGTTGCTCAAATATCGAATGATCCCGAAATTGGAAAATTTTGGCTGTTGTTTCATGGGACAGGAAAAACAGATGTTCTCAATCATTCTTTTACAAGTAATAGGAAATTTTTTTATAAACTAGATTTATTAACTAACCTAGAAGTAAAATACAATTCCCATTGAACGCATACGCATATACTGTTTGCATATGTAGCCAAATAGAAACTAATTTTACATATGTTTCCTACTAATTTATTCCCATTTCACAATTTTTACGTTCGTGTAGTTTTGTATTAATAATTCTATCAGTGTTCCACAGCATTTTTAAACGCTCATTGTGATTCTGGCAAGCAATAAGTCTACTCTACATTAAACGATTACGCCGAATTTTAATTCCTTCTCAAGTACATTGTTACATATTATAGTAACTACAAGTGCGTGGATAAAATATTATAAAATATAAGGAGTATAAGCATATATAAAAAAAATTAAATTCGCTGGATCTCTATTTGTTTTTTAACCCTTTCAAGTACGGTGGAATAAAAACTGATTCACTTTTATTTTTGACAATAATGCAAATTACTAAATTTGAAAGAATTTTTGTCCTTTTAACTACACGGATTTTAATTAAGCCTTTAGGCTCTTCCATGCTGAGTGGTCTCACTTTTTGGCGACGAGGTTGTGAGTTTGAATATCGTCGTAATAATAGTGTGTATGATAATCGTAATTCGTATTGCTCATAAAGGACAAAAATTTGAGTTCACATTTTTTTGCCCTGTTACGGGTTAAATTCATTTAAATAATTAATTAATATATTAACTAAGTTAAAAATTTGAATGCGTAAGTTTTTCTTACATTTTTGATTTACTAAATTTAATCATTCTTAAAACCTTCACTCACGAATTATTTTGAAGTCAGATAGGAAGAATGAACATAGCTGCCATTTTTTGTCCCGTCCTCCTGAATGTGATTCTTTAAAATTTATTTTTCACATTTTACCACATCTTTACCAAAGCTAAAACTCTATCTACCAACACAATCTGGAGACAATTTCGATTACAGTAAATTGTATAAATACATTAACAATGCCAAAACGATAGTTTTGGTTTACTAATATGTATTTAAATAAGTTTGTGAAACATAGATATGGTTAAGGAAGTATTAAATAGATTAGGTCGATCGTGAATTTGTCATCGAATTCAAATTATCATCAAATTACACATCAAATTACAGATATATTACAATATCGATTCACTATCTGCATATATTTATTTTTTATAACAGTCGTTGAACAGCCGACCCAATTTTGGGTTTTCAGCTACCAATGATCAACTCCGTAGCCTTGTAGTTTTGAACCCAATCCAGAAGACAAGGCTGGATCAAGTAATGAGAGATCCACGAAAACCTCCCTCTGCTAGCCTGATGGAGAGAGAACTCCAACCCATGCTCCCTCTATAACTGACGTCAGCACTGTGGTCGGTAGGAGTTGGGTGTGGGATTCGTATCGGCCAGTCAACGGTGGGATTCGAACCCAGATCAACTGATTGGGAGACGAGCGCTATATCTCCTAAGCCCTTTCCCCGACCTCATGATGAAACATTGTCATTTCAAATGTTTTAAACTTTATAACAAAAAAAAATGATTTTGAGAAGGATAAAATCGAATAGAGGTTCCCAAATGGTGTTCCGTAGAACCTTAATGGTTCATTGAAACTGTTTAAAGTGTTCCGAGAGTTAGGGTATTTTTCTAAACCCTCAAAGATTTTTGAACTTTTAATTATATTTAAATATAAATAATAAGAAATTCATTATTTAATATTTCTGTTGAATGGTTGTCTTTGTGAAATTAATTAAATTATAATGCCAATAGAAAAGAAATGACACCTTTCTAAAAAAAGAAATGTATAATTTTATTTATAACAATATATTGAATAAATTCTGAAAAAGACGTGTATTTAAAAAAAAATTTCACTCATATTTTCCACCGGGCTTTTCAAATCAAATTAAATTAACTAAATTTGCTAATAAAGAAATATTTTTCCTTAGTTGTAGGACATAAAATCTAACTTAAGATTGTTGATGATTGAACGAGGAAAACAAGTTATTCCTCTTATTTTACTTTATATTTCATAACTGTACACGACCCTATTATGAGTTTACGAACATCATCCGTAGTCTTGTAATTTAAAACCCAACACGGAAAACAAAGAAACTAATAGGTCAAGCACTGGAACAAACTAGTCTTCATGGAGGACTTTTTGAAGAAACTAACTCGGATTTGTGTAACACGGAGTGGAAAACTTTGAAAACCTCCTAAGATTAGCTCCATGACCAGCGGATTCTTATCCATGATCCGTCTGAGGACTTATGTCAGCACGATGGTCGGTACGAGCCGGTAGCGGAATTTGTATCATCTAGCCACCGCTAGGATTCGAATCTGTGTCACCTCATTGGGAGGCGAACACTCCATTCCCTGAGCTACCAAGGCTTAAATTAAAATGCTGTATTATTGTTGAATACTTTCACAACTATTTTTATATACTTATTTTTTAATAAAGTTGAATCATTTAGGGTTCCATTGCCGAAAGAAGTAGAGAAATGCTGAAATAGATGTTTCTACTTTCTCTCTCTCTCTCTCTCTCTCTCTTTTTTTTTTTTTTGANATATTAATACTCTCTTTTTTTTTTTTAATTTTTTTTTTAATTTTTTTTTTTTTTACCGGCCGGGTGGCCGAGCGGTTAGCGTACCTGACTGCGGAGCCAGTAGCTGCGGGTTCGAATCCCTCTCTGGGCATGGATGTTTCTTTCTCTCTCTTTGTGTTCTATGCCCTTTCTCCTTTGTGTGTGAGTGCGATCCGCCCTATAAACGTGTTTGTGGTTGTGTGACGTGTGACGTGGGCGACACTGCTCCACCGCCGTGGCTTCACCGCAGGTGGCCAGTGGGTAACGAGAAGAAGGTAGCAGTTCTGGCACTTTCTGAGGCCAATGGACAACAGTTCCAAGTGCCCGCCATTAAAACGCGCTTTCTCCTTTTTATTCAAGTAAGGCAAAATCATTAGTTTTTTTTATTTATATCGAATTTATTTTTGTCCCACATCCTTTGAAGATTCTTTTCTACAGCATTTACAATTCTCTTACAGCATTTCTCAATTCTTTAAATGGAAATCAATTTTAAAGCAATTGAATGGAAAAATCTGGTAATATGCATTTGAAATGTTTAGTTTTTAATTCAATTTCAACTCCTGGTTTTAAGAATTTTTCAATTCTTTAAATGTAAATCAATTTTAAAGCAATTGAAAGGAAAAATCTGGTAATATGCATTTGAAATATTTAGCTTTTAATCCAATTTCAACTCCTGGTTTTAAGCATTTCTCAATTCTTGAAATTTCACTCAACGTCATGAAAAATCTGGTATAAATTAACTTAGAGTTTTTGTTATTGGTTTTTAATCCTTTGGAATCTGATTTATTTAAATACCAGACAAAGAGGCAATAACCGAATTAAAAACTGGTATTAAGGTTTTGATTAAAAATAATTGATTTGTTTTATTTCGTCGATTAGTTAACAAATAAAAAATTTTCCTTCCTTCATTATCATTTATAAGAAGTGGTAGCCGTAAATGCATCATTTCTTTTTAATATCGGAAGATAGAAACATACTTTTATTTATTTGAAATAAATGCCTGATGAGCATATAATTAATCAAATGATGCCATTAGGCTAATTAATTCTTTAAATGTAGCATTTAAAGAAATTTCGCGTCATATAGTGACGCGGCAAGTATATACGGGTGACGAAAATGATCGTCATAGGTAATTAGTAATAATTATTATTCATTTTTCTAGGTCCAGATAAACTCAAACTGGAAGAGGGTAGTCATCTTGTTCTATGGTATAAAAGTGTAGATGTCTGATGCAAATCTGCTACAGCACAGAAAAATATTTTTCTAGGATTGCACAGTAAAAAAAAAATCACAGCAAAAGGAAGACAATAATGTTGTGAATTGGTTTTGTCTTCTAAAATTAGCAATAAATTTGTTCTGAAACTAAATAATCTTTTGTAAGTTTATTGTTAGTAAAGAAATTTTCAATCAATTGAAGTATGGTGATCCTTATTTCTTTTAATTGTTCAGTTATTATCTTCCAATTTTGAAGAATCATTCTACAAAAAATTTAAATATTGACGATAAACAAGTTCTGATTACTTTTATGCAATAGTTTTTAAACCAAAGTATCATAAAATAAAGCATATTTTTATTTTTTATTCTGGAAAGATTTCTGTTGCATTCTTTAAAAGCTAACAACTAAAACAGCAGCATCTGCATTCTTATATTTTTGCATTAAATGTTTTTTTTTCTTCTATAATAAGCATACTTGCATTATTTAATATATATTGAGAATGATACTTAGAACAATAATGTACAGTGATGGATCATCCTGTTAGTTTTTGAAGCATTGCTTGGATTTTCATTCTGTAAAATGCTATGGCAATAGCTCACATTTTTCCAAAAACTATGTATAACTATAATCGTGGGGGGATATACTTATTTTGAAGAAAAAAACCCGCTTTTTTGTGGAGAAACATTGCAATATATTTTTTTTACAAATCTGAATTTATCAGCTTAAAATAGAGAAAGGAAATGTAGGTAATGTAATGAAGCGCTGGCTTTTACAGTTTAATCACTACAACAGTTTAAAGATTTTGTTAGTCTAAAGTTAATGAGTCATATTTGTTTTCATATCTTTTAAAGGATTCGTCAAATCAAAATAATTTTTTCACGGAAAGTTATAAGCCTCTTTTCCAACAATAAATTTGTGAAAATATGAGAAATTTAGAAGTAGCAATCATAAGTAATCATCTAGTAATAAGTAATCACCTAGTGCATAAATAGTAATCACCTAGACTACCAAATACTATGTAAACGAAAAATATTTCTAATGATGCTGTAATTGTAAGGAATACAAAATTTTACATATTTTTTTAACAATATTATATTAATGATAAATAGCAAAATTTGAATGAAATCGATCAAATAGTTATGGTGTTATAAAATATTAAATAAGTTGCATTTTAAATTTTAGATTTAAATTGTGACTTACTTTATTTAAAATTACTGCTTTGTTAGTATAATTTTATAATTAAAAAAGTTTGTACATCTTACACTGAAAAATATTTTTGGTTGTTATCAAATAAAATACTAAATAAGTATCTAAAATAATTTTTTACGTGAAATTGTCGAAATTTGTTAGTTTCAAAAGATTGTAGAAAATTCGCTAAAGTCTATTTGGCGTCATTTATTAAATTTGTTAATAGTACTAATATTTCTTTATATAGGGAATGCTGCAGTAGGTCTTTTTATGGCGCTTTGAAGTGAAAATTACGGAATTTAGTAATTGTGATTAATTACATCCTCCAACTTTATAATTGTGTTATTTGAATAGCTTAAAACATTCCCGAGTTGTAGTAGCAAAATTTCGAAATGAAAAGAATAAAATTAGCATTGAGGGTTTCAAATTTTCATCCATTCTACTGGTCAGTGAAACCATAACTTTTAGACTGCGGCTGCTCCAGTCCTCGCCATGTTTTCATGCTTAAAATCCAAATTTGTCGGTAAAAAGATGTTTATTAATTTCTGTATTTGATTCCATAACTTAGTTAATGTTGTTGTTGCTGTCATAGGCTATTAAGACAAAAGGTGCGATGGTTCTTGTTTTCCAGTAGCGCTACCTAACGCCAAGAATGCGACTTCTGCACATCCATAAGTCACACCCGTTTGTAGGGTGGACCCAATCATTCATCCGCAGATCGTAATTTTGACCTGAACCAAGGAACGATCAATCTCCAATTCAGTACCTCCAGATGTCTAACTTGATATGGGAACATAGAGGACTTTGTACTCGACAGATTTAACGTGCACCAGTCACCATTTACTGCACAGGGAGTCTTCGGCCGGCTAGATTCGAACTTTTGTTCTCACGAACATGAGTCCAGCTTCCTGCCAACCAGGCTATTTCGGCACAACTTGTTAATAATATACCTTAATAACTTAGCTTATTTGAGGACAACCCATTGAATTATGGTTGGTAGTTTTCATAAGTGAAAATCCGATCATTAGAAACATAGTTATTCAAGGTGATATAATTTTTTTCGTCCACTCTACTTAAGAAGTGTAACAATTTATGTAGCTTTTCAAATTAATGAAGTTATGAAAAGATTTTGGTCTCAGTACCGAGTAGCATAGAGAGTCGCGAAGAATTCGAATTATTCGTATACATAGTTGCTTAAAACCGAAACTAAATGAATTGTCAGAAAAGAGCAATAATTTTCAGTTCCATTTCGCATTAAAAAAAAGAAAAAGAAAAAAAAAACTTTTCCACTGTGTTAGAAAGTGACAAATCCGAAACTAGCATGCTGAGAAAAATCCCATTTCATTTATAATTCAAAGCTGAAAATCCGTAAAAAAAAAGTTTTAATTATTAACTATAAGTATTAAATTATTTGTTTATAAGTAACGAAAAAATTACATTTTGTGAATCGCGTTCAGTGTTAAAAAGACGTTGGTATGAATAAAAATATGGTTACTGTCGATTTCGATCAATTGGCAACACACATTAACTCCTTCCGAGTAGGAAAAAGAGAGATAGTAAAAAATAGTTGAAATTAAAAAAGTGAGTTACACTCCTCAACTTATCTACCCCCTATATAATTTGTCTATAGAAAGAACTCCCTTCGCCACGAAGTCTAAGGCCGTCTGCTGCTATGGAAACAAGAAATAGCGCATTTCAAAGAGGGGAGCTTCTTTTTCCCCTGATTCCCTTTCTCTCGCCTACCCGTGTCATAACCTGTCTTAAATAGTAACCTAAAACCCCTACTTAAAATAGCTAAACCTCGTAATAATTGTAACCGCCACCACTCCAGACGAATGTCTAAGGGAGCTCCTTACATAGACAAACTATACAAGCCCTTCGACTGGTCAAGTATCCTTGCAAATATCCACATTAGTCTTAGACTTGCAAAGTTCGGAGATTAGAGCAATGTGAACCGATCACAATATTTCGTCAGACTCTCATAATGCATTGAAATTTGGGGTTAAAAACTAAAAAGGAATTAATACTAGTATTCATTGCGTATTCGAAAATTTTATTGACTTCAAAAATATGCAGATGGATGTAAAAGTCGAAATGTTTCGAGCAATCGAAAATAGCTGCCTATTTTGACGTCTTGCCAGACGTGAGTGAGAAGAAGCAAAACTGATTTAAAATATAAGACATTAAGTTGCCCACGAAAAATGGAAAATAAGGATGATAAAAACTGTAGCAGTAGCCGAAAGTTGAACAAAAATTAAGGTGAAAAAACAGAAGGTAAGTAGGTACTTTAGCTACGTCGCACAATGGGCTATTGGCGACGGTCTGGGAGACATCCCTGAGGATTATCCGAAGACATGCAATCGCAATTTTGATCCTCTACAGAGGGCATGGCTCCCCTGCTTTCGTAGCCCGATGACCAGAATGCGAAGACGAGCACTTTACGGTAGAGCAGTTTAACGAGGATCAATACCGCACCCCTTCGGTACCTACGCAAGCTGATCAAAGTGCTCACCCACCCGCTTATTAACCGCAGGCAGTGATGCTTAGCTTCAGTGTTTTATCTTTACCATCATGTCTTTACATTCATATCTTTGCCACCAGTTCACCACGGGATGAAAAATCAGAAGAAAAACCACTGTGGTCACACTAATATCGATAACAAGGGAATCGGCATCCATATGAATGAAATAAGATTCCAGGGTATCAAGATGAGATGATGTGATTAGAGTGGAAACAATTTTGGTATTGACAAAATTTAATTCGTGGCCAAGATTCCACGATTGCGGAAATCGCAGTTTGGAAAAAAAAATAGCAAATGAAAAATGAAAGCAAGTTTGATGCACAATGAAGTTTTATATTTTGCTTGCAAACATAATGCTTAACCCTTTGTCCCTGAATGGGACATCTGTGCCCTTTTTATAGATTTTTTTCTTCTGAAGCTCTCATTAGAAGTAAAAATACATTTTGGTATTTTTTAACTTTAAAAAACAGTCCAATAGTTACTTAAAAATCTCTTGGATTATCGGAATTACATTTGTTTTTAAACATAAAATCCAAAAAAAAAATAATAATGCAGTTTGAAGCTTTTTTTTTTCTCTTTTATTTTAAAATATGTCAATAATTATTTCGCAAATTAAAGAAATTTCAATGGTGAATAACTGTTTCGCTTAGATCTTTCTAAAGAGTAAAATCGAAAATTTATTGTTTGCAAATGAGCCGTGATTGAAAATTTTACCTTCAACGCCGAAAAAAGACAACTTTGTTTCAAGCTGTAATTCATAAACATAAACAATTAAAATGCTAAATATAATATTTTTTTAACTTATTTTGATATAAACTGCAAAAAAAAGTATGAAGAATATGATTATCTGCGTTAAAAGGTTAACTTTTCCCAGAGGTATTATTTTTTTCCTAAAAGCGGCATCCTTTATAGATTTTATAAAGCATATACCGGTGTCTTTTATAGATGTTTTGTTTGCATAAAAATTATCTAGTGATAATATCTTATCAAACACTTTTAAAAGAGGTAAATTCTCTGAAATTCTAAAGAGGGGATTCCTTAAATGATATGATAGAGTACATCTTAAGGTGCTCTTGCTCATATCATTTACGAGACGAATCAGAAATATGAACTATAGGAAATAAATGTAGATAAGGTGCATGCTTTAAGTACCAAAACAAATAACAATAGTATTTAAAATGGTTTTTGACAATGCAATGTATTAATTTCATCGTAAAAACATGTGCAATTTTTTCTTCATCCTTTTTTTAGCTGTCGTTTGTATTTACCAAACCTGTGAGTTATTTTCTGTATTTTATTTACTGTATTTCATTTATAAGTTTATTTGCTTTCATCTTACACTTAATTATACATGTCGTTTCATATTTAGGGTGATAATTGAAAGGTTAGTTTCTAAAATCCGGTTTTTTCGCAAACCGTTGATTGTTAGGCTCATTGAAGTGGGCTTTGTAAACGCATTGCTAAGAGACGTTGGCATTTTGTAAAAAGCTGAATTTTCCAATTAAGCTAACTTTTTGAAATATACATCATTTCAAGTATATTCATTAAAACATCATTACATCATCTCAAGTAAATTCATTAACACATCATTCATCTTTACACCATTTAAGTATATTCATTAAAACATCATTCATCGTTACATAATTTAAGTACATTCATTAAAGCATAACTCATCATTTCATATACATTCATATTGTAAAAATATACATCATCATGCGAGTGATCAATTGAGCTATCATTTGAGTTATGCATGATTACTGATTAGATGTAAAATAATACAACTAGTAGAAAGTACCAACTAGAAAACTATTCAGAAAGAAAATCTAAAAAGTAGAAAATAAAACTTTAAAAATAACATTAATAAAAAGTCAATAAAAAAAAACTAGTTGCGAAGAGTTATAACTTATTTTTCAGTTTAAAAATTAAAAAAAAAACATAAAATATATCAATGCAATAAGCTGCTCAATTAGTGAAATTTTTTAAAACACAATTAGCAGAAGAAAATATAGAAAAAATGTATACAAAAAACAGCAGGTAGTTTTTTAGGTAGGAACTTTTATTTACGTCGCACTACACCTGCACAATGGGCTATTGGCGTCGGTCTGGGAAACATCCCTGAGGATAATCCGAAGACATGCCATCGCAATTTTGATCCTCTGCAGAGGGGATGGCTCCCCTGCTTAGGTAGCCTGACGACCTGCGCGTGAAATCGAGCACTATACGGCAGAACAGTTTAACGAGGACCGATACCGCGCATCCTCGATCCTTACGCAGACTGATCAAAGTTGTCATCACCACATCCAGTGATGCTTGACTTAAGTGTTCTACTGGGAACCGTGTCTTTACCATCAGTCCACTGCGGAGCAAAAAATAGCAGGAAAAGACGGTTTAAAAAATACAGCATAAATCTGTACGACTTAACTTTGAGCTAAAAAGATTAAGTGTTTGTTATATATAGAGAATATGAAAATATTGAATTCGCATAAATTTGAAATTTACAGTTATTATAAGCATGATTTAAGAAACAAACTATAAGTAATCTTAAAAAAATGCGCAAGTTGATGACGCAGGAGGTTGAAAGGACTTTATGAAAATCTCCTTGAATTTTTTAATTAGAAATTAAACTCAGTTGCGCAGAACATTCTAGAAATTAATTTAGAAGCAGTACTTGAATTAGTAAGTGGAGCTAAAAATAATTTGTACGAAATGGCTCACCTATTCAGATTTAAAATTTTGTGAAATTGTGTGAAAAGTCCGGAGTAGTTGTTACTTTGTCCAAAACTTGAACCCTAAGTAGAACTTCTACACAATTACTTTACTCATTAGTGATTCGAAATATTTGCTATATTTTTTCGATGCTCAAATAGTAATTTGTGTCCCCCTCCCCTGATGATCTCACTTTTTTGATCCCATTTCGATTTCCCTATCAATCAGAATTCAGTGCATTAACGATGCTTAAGGGCTTATACCTGAGAAATTCAATATTAACAAGATTTGATTTAATACATTCTTATACGGGACATCGAAGAAAACACAAAGAAAACCAGAAAAAAATATTTTAAAAGAAAAGGTGAAAAATTATTTGAAAAAATATTTTTTTTAAGTTATAAAATTATTTTTAAACACATTATTAAAAACAATTAAAAAGCCGGAAAACAAAATAAATAAAAGATATAATTCTGTCGTCAGCTTACACTATTAGATAACAGAGTGCTTTCTGGTATTGGTCCCAGTAGAACGCCGAAGTCAAGCCTCACTGGCGGGTGGGTGGTTGACTAATTTGATCAGCCTGCGTAGGAGACGAGGGCGCGTGGTTATTTCCTCGTTAAACTGTTCTACTGTAAAGTGCATGACTTCACGCTCCAGACGCCGGTCTACCAGAGCAGAGGAGCCATCCCCTTTTCGGAGGATCAAGATTGTGATGGCATGTCTTCGGATCATCCTCAGGGATGTTTCCCAGTTCGTCGCCATTAGCCCATAATGCAGCTCTAGAGCGATTTAAATAAAGTACCTACCTACCATTCTACTATTGTATTACTATATAGTCAAAGTAAAATACATCAATACATTATTGTATTGTATTGATAAATTTGAACATTAAATATTAAATCTTTGAATATTTAATATTCAATTCTTCTGAATATTAAATCCTTTCTTTGTTTGTAGGTGGCATTCAGTCTGACTGTGTGAACTTATCAAATCAGAATGGCAACATAACTGGGATATTACCGGGATCTAGAAAAGATAATAAAGATTACCATGCATGCTGGAATATTTTGAATCCCCATAATCGTTTGCTGAAGATAGAACTGAAGCACTTGGATTTTAAGTATTCGGTATTTAGAAATATACTACTTCTGTATAATTGATTAAGATTCAAAAATTTTTAAAAAAATGTGAAATGCATAGTTAGAAATCAAAATATTTCACTTTCAAAACTGGCGAATTTTTAGAACACATTTTGATTGAATTTTTAAAAATTGTGTTTTAGTTCTCTACCATCGGGTGGAAAAAAAAACCTTTAATAGCAATTATCTAAATTAAAATACAATATTTTTGATTGATTTACTGAATTAATTTCTTTATAATATTGATGCGTACATTGCGCCAAAAAAACGGACCATCCTAAATAACTTATTATTATTATAATTTAGTTATTTATTTACGAAATCAAACACAAAAATGCACTTTAGTTGAATAAACATACCTTTTTTTTCGACGGATTTAAATTTCTGACCCCCAAAATATAGGGGGTAGCCGCAATATGGTCCACATTTTTTTGACAGAAGAGCGATCCAAAATTTGGACCCCTTAATGTTAATTTTACTTTCTGCGTATATATCTCCTTATCTTGAGAACTTCTAGAGCGAATTGAAAATTTTTTTGCCCACAATTGTAAAATTCGTTAATCCTAAGATAATTCCATGTGAAAAATAAATGTTTGTTAAGATTAATTATTTTTTACTCTTTTATTTAAAAAATAGTCGAAAAAATTTTGGATTGTAGGGTGTAAAATGTTTTACGTCATTTTTAAAGTAAGTTATTTTGTATAGTAAAACACAAAATTTGAACAAAAAGAGATCGCTTTCTTGGCCAAACTGGGGTGGCCATATTTCCTAGATTGCGGTTGCCCCCTATATTTTGGGGTTCAGAAAAAAAATGTGCCTATTCAGTGAATGTACGTTTTTACGTATTGTGTACGTTTTGTGTTTCGTAACTTAAAATATCGTCTGTAGTGAATAAATTAGCATATTTAAAGTCACGTACTTGAACTATTAAGAAAGATTCCTAGCATGTAAAGATCCGATCATTAGATCAAACGTTAGAACTACTTTTGGTCTAATGATCGGATCTTTAATGATCTGTGTTATATGTTTATCTACCATTTAATTTAACTACCATTACACGGAGAGGAATATCTCCCACTGTTAGCTTGACGACAAGAGGACTCTAACCCATGATCCGTCTACCACTGAGGATATTTTACGTCGGCAATGTTGTCGGTGTGAGCCGGGTGCGGAACTCGAACCAACCCGGTTCATCTCCTTGGAAGGCGAAAGCTCTATCCCCTAAACTACGGCTCTGCTGCTGTACAACATACAACAAACCGAAAATCGGGATGCGTTATTTAGCACGCGAAAGAGGTACATGATCAATGCATGGCAGCAGAATCACTCGAATTTCGCATTTAGAAATTATGAGCGAAAAATTATGCGTCACTCTTCTACATAACCATCCCATCAGTAGGTCAATACCCCCTCCCCCTCAATAACCAGGTAACACGTCCGACAGGCAAAGGGTTTATAGTTCCTTAGATGAGATAGCATGATGAAACAAGTGTTGACTATCTCAACATCCTTACAACCAAGTCAAAGTTCTTGATGGTCCCATCAAAATATTTTAATAGTTTATGTTTGTTTCAATACGATTCATGATGGTCCAACATCATTTGATGGTTACCATCATCCAACATCTTCCATTATGAGTTCATGTTTTTTGATAAGCCCACAAACTTCCATCATTCCATGGACCTCTTTCATTTGATCCTCATGGACCATGATGGTTCCCTCTATACATATGCATGATGGCTTAATAGGAATTCTTGTTGGTTCTCAGGAATATACCATCAAAACAATTTGCTTGTTTTCTTTAAATGTTAAACCATCATAAATCAGTTCGAATTCTTAGATTGGAATGATGGTTGTTCATGATCATTCAAAGATTTGATTTATAAGATACTATGATGAAAATTCGTGATGAATCATGATGGTACAACAATCCATTTTCATGATAATAATTCTTGTTGGTTCAGTACAAAAATATGCAATCAAAAGAATTTGGGGGTTTTTTTCATGTTGACCCATCATAAATCAGCCCGAATTCCTATATTGGGGTGATGGTGGTGATCATTGTAACATTTAATTTCTAGAAGGCTGTAATGGAAATTTTTGATTAATCAACACGAACAAACCATCGAAACAAGTTTCCATTCTTATGTTGGTCCCTCCTAAATCAGTCCGAGTTGCTTCATCGGGGTGATGGTTACTTATGTTGTTTTCCATCAAAAAATATAATGGTTCATGATGGAACTATTGATGATTACCATCAGGATTATATTGGTCCATCAATTGAAACGATAAGAAATTTTGACTTGGAAAAACTGTTATTCTGGTTTTACAGGTGATAGCATCGAAGGGATTGAAGAAGCCCGTTCTAGAGTTGTTGACCTACTGAAGAGTAAGTGGTCAACATGGAAATGGATCGATCACATTCCAAAGGCAGTCACAGCTTTTTCTTTGGCCGAAGGACCTCATTTCGGAGATCTTGAAGACTATCTTATGTTGAAGCAAAGGGATATTCAAATATTACTATCATTAGTGCGGTAAGTGAACACATTGTTTGTTTAACCCTTTATTTATTGGGTTGTTTTATTTGTGACAAGATGAATACTCGTTCTTCATACAAGTTTAAAAATATCGGAAAATCGCTATCAATTAATATTAGTTTTTTATTTACATATTAGTAGTCCTTTTCAGTGACTTTATGTTATAAGATAAATTTAGTCTCGCCTCTATAGGAGGCATTCAGGATACACTGAAGACAACTTGAGCTGATAAGAACTGATGAGAACTTTATTGAACTGATAAGACACTCACCAGTGTGTGTCTTATCAGTTCAAGAAAACGAATTGATTGTGATGAACAAAAGAGGCCTTCAAATGAAATGACCTCGAAGGTGACCCTGGGTTGCACGGGTGTAAATGTACAGATGTAAAGATGTGCCATGTTTGTACAGATGTAAAATTTACAGATGCAAATTTGTTTGCGAAGCTCCAAGTCACAATTGACGAGATGGGATAGCCTGGTTGGTAGGGCACTGGGCCCATGTCCAAGAGGGCGTGGGTCCGATTCCTGAAGGCCGAAGACTCCTCGTGTAATAAAAGGTGACTGATGCACGTTAAATCCGTCGAGTTAAAAAAGTCCTCCATGTTCCCATAGCAAATCATACATCTGCAGGTACTGATCCAGGAGTTTCCTTGTCTTTTGGATTGTATTCAAAATGACAAGGCTACGGAGTTGAACATTAGTAGTCGTAAATCTAAAATTGGGTCGCCTGTTCAACGACGGTTACAAAATAAATAATAAAAAAGTTACAACTGCTCCGTAATATAAATTACACATGTTACATGCTTTTATAGGCCAGAACAATAAAATTTGTTACAGAATATATGAGCATGAATTGTAAATGATGGTGTCCAGATGGAAGGTAAGATTAAGCAAAACACGTTTTTAGAAGTACAACTCTTCTAAGTAAATATTTACTTATACTTTAGTCTAAATCAGTGTGATGCTACTGCTCACGGCCAACTCATGATTGGCAAAATTTACTTGATGTCAGCATTTTGTTTCCTTAATTTTGTTCTTAAGTACATAACTTGCATTTTTTAGTTCAGTTAGAGTTGGTGTGAAATTATTTAGTTTTACAGAAACACGTTTCAAAAGCGTGGCAACAAATAAACGAAACATATAGTTTCAGATAACTCTAGGTGTACTAATTCAGAGACGTAGTTCTCACATGACATCCACGTTGATCCTTGCACTTACCAAGGTCAAAGACGAAGAAAAAAAACTGACATTGCAATAGATCGTGCTATAAACTCCTTTTTAAGATTGAACAGAGCTAACAAGTAAACTAACTGCACGATAACAAGTGTAACTTATGTTATCTTTTAAAAAAATTTTTAAAAAAATCATTTGTGAAAAATTTAATTAATAATCTTAAAAAATTTTAAAAAAATCATCAAAAATTAATCATTTTAAAAAATCATCTGTATAAAAACGTTTAATGTTACCAAACAGAGAAATTTATTCTTCAAATGTCCCTTCCACATGAGCTAATCAAAAATTTTTTTAAGCAGTTTTAGGGACGGAGGCTTAAACTCCACCTTGCACCTTCTGTAAAAATTTTTGGAACGCAGCATAAATAGTTCTGGAGTTTCACGAGAGACACACAAGCAAACTGTTTTTGTTATTATAGACCATTTTGATCACCACGACATTTAAACGATTCAAAGATATTCACAAAAGATTTAATATGCACAATGATTTTGTGAATTTGTAGATTTTGAGATTTTACCTCTATAAGTAATGTGGATCGAGTGCTGCAAATTCTTCTGCGTGAGCAATAAAGTTATGCCTAATTTGTTTCACTTCGTCAGAGCAGATTTTAAGGATTTTCGCCTTTTTATCTCAAATACAAAAACTTTTACTATTATATTATAAATAATATGAGTTTAGTCGTGAGGGCTCATGGGATAGAGAGTTCGCCTTCCACTGAGGTAAACTGGATTCGAATCCTAGCAATGGCTGGTGGATACGAATTTCGCATCCGGCTTGCACCGACCACAGCGTTAACGTGAAATATCCTCAGTGGTAAACTGATCCTGCGTCAGGTTAAGGGTTTCGTGGTTTTCCTCTCCATGTGAAGCAAATGCTGGTTAGTTTCATCAAAAATTTCTTCCACTTTCACGATGGAAAATTTCTCCAAATACTTTATCCAGGAGTTCCTTTGTCTTCTGGATTGGGTTTAAAATTGCAAAGCTACGGAAAGGAATATTAGTAGTCGTAAGCCCAAAAATTGGATCGGCTGTTCAACGACTGCCATAAATTAAATTAAAATTATATGAGTTTTGCCCCTTGAAAACAATAGTAGTGCATGATTGTTCACAGCTTTAGAAAACTATCGTGATACATTATTTCTGCCTGGCCCTCAAGAATTGAGTTCTCAGTGGGATTCATCACAGTGTGTATGGAGGCTTATCTTGTGACGGCCAGAGAGTAAAAATATCTAGCTATCGCGCTAATTAAAAACACACTCTACACTCATCAATCCCTGTTATATTAATGCAATGAATGATGGCATGATACGTATAATAGTTTATTGTTATTAATTGGTCTATATTAGAGAGTGTATGAAAGTTGCTTATAGAAATTTTGCTCTAGCAACATGCTTATGATAATTCACATGATAATTTATTGTTTTTAACTGGTTTATGTTGCAGGGCGTATAAAAAATGTTAATAGATGTATTTCGGTTTTTTAGCAACTTAAGATATGCTTAAGATAAATTCATATAATGATTTATTGATTTTAATTGGTCTGTGTTGCAGAGTATGTGAAAATTATTCATAAAAGTTTATTGTTTGAAGAAATTTCGATATCAACGGAAAAAGTTTTAATGATTCTTATAAACCCACCAGCTCTTTGAAAAAAATTTAAAACTAATGATCTTTATGAATACTTTGTATTCCTTTTAGTGACGTCCATTTGAATGACCAGCTTAGCACATTCATTAATTCCTTGCTTTCTACTTGTCACGATCCTCGTGATTTTTATGGATACAATTTGGTAAAACTTCTGAAAGAACAAGTGATGTCTGAAAACTTTACCCATCCCACATCTTATTTGGCTCTCTGTAACGCCAACGAAACATGGCCAGATAGAGTTTATCAAGATCTCGCCAACACTTACAATAGCAGCATCGACATACCGTTTAGAAGAGGTAAGATCCAATAAATATATTTAGCAAAGTTATATAATTCATTAGTATCGAAAAAAGGTGATATAAAAACATCCACCAAAACCATCAACCAAAAAGATCCCCTTCTCCGACTGCCTCGTTTGCTTCCACCTCCACCACCAACACTCCATGGCAAACCATTGCCAGCAGAACATTGAAGTTAAATCAGATCAGGTGGCCACCACGGCTTTGGTTGGTTCGGAGACAACCGATGCAGCGGCTACCACCAAATCTGTGTGTCTGTTTTGCCATTCACCAACCTTGTTATATAATTTATTAGTATCTAAAGTGGTGACATGCAAACATGCACCAAAATTATCCACCAAAAAGATCCCACGCTACCCCTTCTCCGACTGCTTCGTTTGCCTCAACCTCCACCACCAACGATCCATGGCAAACCATTACCAGTAGCACATTGAAGTTACATCAGATCAGATGGCGACCACGGCTTTGGTTGGTTTGGAGACAACCGACCCAGTGGCTACCACCAAATCTACTTGCATGACTTGACAAGAAGCATATACAGGGATAGTGAATGCTCTACTCTCTGAGTCACCACGTCTCAATTCGTTATTAAATGTATATCAATATGTGTGTTAGATTTTTGATCCTTTCCTATTACACAGTGATATTTAAACATTTTCATATTTTTAGACACTATGTGTATTCCTTCCATATTGCTTTTCTAGAACACCAGGCATTCGCAGTGATGGCTCTTTCTTGCGAAATTCGCCGAAGGGGAAATCATTCCGTTGCAGAATTTAAAAAATTCTTAGATTTTTATGAAACTAATATTCGAGAGTTTAAAGCCCTGCAAAAACCGAGTGGTAGCTTCGGAAACGTGCACAGAACTGCTCTCATTACTCAGGTATGTAGAAATTCTTATGTTTTTCCGTTTCATGACCTAGAGCTAGTGAATAGTCTTTTTTTATTTTATTTTATTACCGTCATTGAACAGTTAATCCAATTTTTTGGGTTTACGACAACTACTGTTCATCTTTCTATTCTTGTAATTTTGAACCTAATCCCCAGAAGAGAAGGAAACTCTTGGATCAAGTAGTGGGAGAAATTCGCGACTTTTTTGATAGAACTAACCAGAATAGGCACTGCATGGAGAGGAAAACCACTAAGAGCCCCCACGGTTGGCCTGACGCCAAGGGGACTGTAACTCATGATCTGCCTCTCCAGTCCAGTACCCTGCCAACCAGACTATCCCTGCCCACATACATTAGCTTCGAAAAAGCATTATGCTTTTATTTTAGATCCAAATATAAGTATTTATATTATTAATATGTTGTGATATTCTTCAAAAATAATCATAATAATAAAACACCGAGGCTACAACGTTTCTTTATTTTTTTTAGCGAAAAGGAACAGACCTATTAGGGCACTCTATCGCGATTCTTTATACCATCTTCGGCTGCTAGAGTCAGATAGATTCATTTTACGTATGTTACAATGGACTATGGGTCGTAAGGTAGCCCATAATTTAGAGATTTGGACTCCGATCAGGATGGGTCGGGGATTGATCCTCAACTCCGATAAGACCCACCGAGTACATGTAATATGCGTGCTCGCAAAATCTATGGAAACAAAAGTCCTGCGATAGGTCACTGAACAGCACTATCGATACAGGAAACTGATGAAAATTTCCTTTTCCTTCTGATCTATGCCTAAATCAGTTGGTGCTGCCATCTATCTGTGGGAATTTGAGATAAAACATACTTTCACCTTTGCTGCACCTTTCTAGCTTAATTCGCTTAAGTTCAATGACTGCAGAGCTTGGCTTATCTATGTAACATTAGAAACAACAGCAGTGGACGGTGAAGGGAAAACCGCGTGATGTGATCACGGTTCTGAAAAGATTTAAGAAGCAAAAAAGATATTTTTTAAAATTAATCTTAAAGTGCTATTTATAAACGCCCCATATGACAAAACATCCATGTATTTTCAGGCGTTGATTGCTAGTGGTCATGAACAGGAGACTGATTGGAATTATAGTAAAGCTATGGAAACTTTAATGCAATCAATAAATACGTCTACAACTGACATAATTTCTATATATTTAATTCTACCTTTGCTGAATGGAAAGAGTTTGACAAACATTGCTTTCACAAATTGCTCATCACTAAGGAATCATGGTAAATTGTTTTTTGCTTTTTTTCAAATAATCAGACTATAATAATTTTGAGTTTTTTTTTCTTTCACAAATATCTTTCATATTTACAGATGATCTGGTGGCTGAAATTCATGACGATTACTTAGGACCGAAAATTAAAATTCAGTATTCGCTGTTTGTAGGAGATCCTAAAGATGCCATCTACACCATAGTACTCAAAGTGCCAAAACACTATGGGGCTTTCGATGTGATGCAGCTTATTTCAAGGAAATACCCCAAATATGAGTAATAATTCATATTCCCTTTTTAAAAAGTTACACAGGGTAACAAATTTGTTGTTGCCTTTATGCAAGTACTTGAGGGAGATTACAAGTTAAAAATTAGTTTTGTTCCGAAAAACTATAGATTTTTTTTTTCAAAATGATATATTTAGCTTAATTAAATTGTTGTTTGAATGGAAGTTTTATAAAGGAAGTATAGGTTTACATACATATACACTTGCCTGCGCCTTTTAAAATAATACTTAAGAGGAAAAANTAGATACCTGAAACCTTAAAAAATTACTGAATAAGAAATAAAACACTCATCCAACTATTTATAAGCACTGAAACTATGGAAATATTAGTTTTGACATGATTGTTTAATGCTGCAAGTCTTTTTAATGTTATATTTAAAATAAAAATTCACTTTTAATTGTGCCTAAAATGAAACTAGTCATTTATAAATTCTTTTACATGTTCATTACCAGCCGAGAGCAGGTGATTATACAATATCTATCATTAAAGAGTGGTAATCGATAAATTTAAAATTAAATTTTCTTATTTTAGCAACCATTTTAGTTCTTAAATTTTACTATAAGTTTAATTTAATGAGCAATATATTATTGTCATTTGAAAACATATTTTCTTCAAAAATAGCCACTTGAAGTGTTTTAATGATACAAATTATAGTAGATGTGTAGTAACAAACGTCTGGTGTAGTAGATGCGTAGTAAAAAATCTTCTGGAGATATCGCATGATGGAATAATAAACGTGTTGGCGTGTGACCTATTTTTAAAAAAATCATTAAGTCTAATAATATAAAATTTAAACTAAAAGATCTTACTGTATTGTATCTAGATAAATGTTTGAAAATAATTACTAGAAATATTGAAATACCAGACACTATATCGCCATTCTATTTGGGGAACGATCTAGCAAATGTATGCACATTTTTTAAGATAGCACTGAGCTGAGTAAATAGCAATAATTAGTTTATTTATAGAAATTGAACAGAATTGAGTATAATATCAGAATATATTGAATAATTAAATTGATTAAATAATATAATTGAGTATTATTTTTGATTAAAAGTACCTAAATCTTTCCTCTGTTTACAATCCTTTGAAGTCTGAGTTTCGTCCTTTTGGAAATCTCAACCATAAATTATCCGCGTTCTTTATTTCCAATTTCTAAATTTGTGGCCCGGTGGCTTCGCACTCTCCTGCCACAAGTTCTGCGTTCGATCTTCGGTGTAGGCAAAGTTAATTCAGCCTTTCATCCCTTCAGTGGGTCGATAAAATGAGTGCCAAGCCTGCTTTGGACCTAAACACTAAGGATTCCGTGTTCGGCTGACCACCTAACCGAGACATCTGCTCCGGCACCCCAGAGCCGAAGGTCAAGAAAACTGAGATGGGCAGAGTAGGCCTTGGACCTATATGGGCTGTCACGACACTGAGTTTAGTTATATTTGTGGCTTGGATTTGTCTCAGAATAGTTTTTCAATCTCCTACACTGCTAGAATTTTCATTCTAAAATTATGGAAGCAGTCTTTACACCTGATTAACCTTAAAGTTTACAGTAAAGAATATTTTTCACCTTTATGATTTTAAAACTCTCTACAACTAGTACGTGGTTGCAAAACCACGAATACAAAACTCTCCGGTTCGTTAACCATTTACAACTAGCATGGTTTCAAAACTGTAAAAAGAAATTTAACTGAACATAGGATCTATGTTTTGTGTGAGGTAATGGGCATAGGAGAGTGCAGGGCACTGAAAACTCTTGTTTTGATGGGGATGGTGAAACATTTTGGTGTCTCCGCTGGGGCTCGAACCCTAGTTCTGTCGATCATGAGACAGAAAGATTAGCCCTCTCGGCTATAATAAGTAAGCAGTTGCAATTAACTAAACGGCTTCATTAGGTGGATTTAATTGGTGTGATGAAATTCTGATTATTTAACCGTTTTAGGTGAAAGCAGTTAATAAACGGTTTTTCTCCCAATTAACAGTTTGATTAACCATCATTTTAATGGTTATTTGACTGTTTGGTTTAAATATGGTAAAATAACAATTGAATAAATTAGTATTTAACCATTTTTTCTGAGAAATTTCTTAGAGTGTAAGCTCGGAATTTAACTGATTGTTGAACGCTTGTCTCGAATGCGAAGAGTCACATTGTATAACTGTGTGCAGAAAAAACATACAAAAACAGAAAGAATCAATGAGCATCTATATTTTTCAGAATCAAATGCGCTGTAATGCAAAGAGTCACATTGTATAACTGTGTGCAGAAAAAACATACAAAAACAGAAAGAATCAATGAGCATCTATATTTTTCAGAATCAAATGATTTATTTAGAAATTATTTCAAGAGAATAGAGAATATAAATAACCATTCTGAAAATAAATAACCATTATTTTTTTCGGATTTTCGTAGGTCCAAATAGTCCAGCTTTAGACGAAGGAGATCACATTGCCATGTGGTACAAGAAAGCTGCATCACACTAATTCTAAATAAAAAGTATCAGCATTACTTTGAACTTATTTTGCATGTAATTGTAAATTTTAATAAATGTACTGTTCTTAATAACACAGCAGTTACTTTACTTTTTATAATTCTTAGTTTTTTCCGTTTTGCAGCCATTAGTTTTTTTCCGTTTTGCAGCCATTAGTTTTTTTTTTTTTTTTTTTTAACATCGATGAAAATTTTAATAGTCAATGAAACGGCAAAAAATTTTGCTTGAACAATTCAGGGGACAATTATAAATTTTATTCAAATCAAGCGCAAATTTTTAATTGAAATTTGTAACATAGATCTAGTCAAAGAGGTCTTTAAATTTCGATTGGAGATAAATTCATAAATTCTTTCTGGGGATTTGAACCCTGATCGTAGCAAAACTAATAACCAATATTATTTTTAAAAAAATAGAAATTTATTTCATTAATTATTCTTTTTCGGTTCACCATAAAGGATACAAAAATGAAAATTTTATACACATATTTAAAAAAAAAACTGCCACAAAGACTTAAGAGAATTGACCCAAGTTTTCCTTAAGGCAAAATAAGCTTAAAATAATAAAAAAGAAGCTTTGATAAATGTTTTTAACGTTTTGGCAAATAATTTACTGATGATTATAAATACTGTAGTTTTGTTAAGAGTTTTCCCTACCGTAAAATAAGCTGCAACTTTTATAAAGTTTTTTTTACAGCTTTTGTAAAGGTTAATCTATTCCCTGCACCTATTAGCATATCTACTAAGCAAAGTTTGAATTGAATTTTCACTGCTGTCCTCCATAATTTAACATTGAACACTTCTTTGCACATCTGCAAAGGCGCTTGTCTTAGTAAGGAAAACGAATTGACCATCATCGAGATAGCAAAATAAGGTTTAGTTTAACTCAGCAGAAACCTTTTAATGTAAACCTAGAAAGGTTTGTTATGCGGTTTACGTGTAAACCTTCGAACCTTAAAACGAGATCTGTGATAATCTGCTCTATTCTACGCACATTATTCTAATCCAAAACCTTGGAAAAAAACCTCCTATATAAAAACCTTAAATCGAGGTAGACTTGGTGTTTTCAAGCGTGAAAAAATCCTTTAATAAAGCTAGTCTCAAAGTGAAAATAATCTTAAATCTAGGTGATCATAAGGTTTCTTTTTGCAAAGTCTTGTATGCTCAGCTAAAATCCACCTAGTCTTGAAATTTTAGTGGATCATGCAAGTTGATCCTATTGCTAGTGTCACGTCAGCTAAAACCTCACTGTGGATCTAACAAGGGAAACTAGGGAAGTGTGACTCGCCAATTTTAAAATAAACTAGTGGGATGTATGCCTTATGAGGAATAATTTTAGGGGTAAACATTCGTTTCGGCCCATAAGAGGTCCTGTGAGAGATTAAAAATAATTCAATGTATAGAAAAATCGGTATTTTATTACTTCAATGCTGACTATTAGTTATTGTAATTGTCTCATACTCCAATTAATTTTGTGGTACTTTCACGCACTATATAATGCATATTTATTGTCAAAATTGATTTCGAAAATTTTATATATCTGTGGTTTTTCTGAAAAACCTGTTAGGTAAATTTTAAAAAAAATTTACATCAAATTTTTTAAATTTTTTCTTCTTCAACAAACATTCTAAATTAATTGGAGTATGTAATTGAAAATCAATTTATAAATAATTAATTAATAATTAATTAGCAATTAATTTTCTGATTAATTTATTAATTAGCAAATAAATCAATTATCCAATTAATTACAAATTAATTGGAGTATGAGACAATTACAATAACTAATAGTCTGCATTGAAGTAATAAAATACCGATTTTTCTATACATTGAATTATTTTTTATCTATCACAGGACCTCCTATGGGCCGAAACGAATGTTGCCCCCCAAAATTATTCCTCATGAGGCATACATCCCACTAGTTTATTTCAAAATTGGCGAGTCGCACTTCCCTAGTTTCCCTTGTAAGTGACCATTTTACTTAAGTGGCAATACTTCTTAAAAAAACTTTAAAAAATAATTTTTTTAATCTTTTTTAGGATGAAAGATTTGAAACTGCAATTTTTTTGCTTTTTTGAAAAAAGGTTTTTAGTACAAACGTTTTCATGACATTAAAAAGAAAATTTTGACACAAGGTTGCCGTAAGGTTTACACGCTTTCTGGGCAGTCTGTGTTAGTTTAAAAAATAACGAATATGTTGTTTCTCTGTGTGTAGATTCAATAGTTTTGCGCATATAGCCATTTTTCTAAGAGAGACAATTGCTGTTCTGATTTAACCCTTTCGCTCCGACTGTCACAAATACGTGCCAGCATAAAACCGTATCAACCAGGGTAAAAAGATAAAACTGGTAATCAAAGTAATTCTTTGGCAGTTTATTTGTGGGCGGAGTTATAATCGTTTGGTTTATTTAATTCACCATACTTTGTTCAACATAAAACTATTTAGTTATACTTTGAATTAACATTGATTATATAGATGATTAAACTAACAATAATTAAAGTAAAAGCAAAGTAAGTCTGTCAAATTAGAAACGACTACATTTAAGTTACCGTTTTTTATTTAACACGTTTACAACGGGGTGACCCATCGGTGGGTCACGCTAGATTGTCTCGTCTTAAAAGCGCACCGGAGTAAAAACTGGTAACAAATAAATTTCATTTTTTAGTTTTTTTCCGGGAATAATACTACCAATTGCTTTTAACGGATGCAATTTTTATATTGAATTGTTTCTTCGCCGTGATAAATTTCCTTACAGTGAATTGTTATTGTTGAGAATAGATTAACTCCTCCCGAATATTATCTAATATTGAAATAGTTCTTATACCAGTATTTTCTCTTTTCCGTCCCGCTTTCAAGCGCAACACGTGTTAAAAAATAACGGATATGTTGTTTCTCCGTGTGTAGATTCAATAGTTTTGCACCTTTAGCCATTTTTCTAAGACAGACAATTACTGTTCTGATTTAATCGAGGATTTTGTTTTAATTATTGCAAACTTTTTTATTACTATTTTTTTTACATTTATGTTGGGTATTAGCGAATATATAACATCGTACGCGCAGATTTGCAGATATGCAAATTCGCAAAAAGTGCTTTCTTCGCCCAAAGAATTGTAACTGATTTTTTTTTCTTTGCATTTTCACTATATTCATTGATATGAAAATAATTATTATTAGTCACTGAATGAGGGATTAAGGAAATCTTGAGCAATTTCTCTTAAGCATTTGTGAAGGTTTTCTTCAGGGCATTTTACCTTTAAAATAGATACAACAACTAAAGTTTTCAGTATTAGAAGAGCTAGTCTGTAGGTATCTTTTTTACTGAAAATCACTGCATTTAAGTGAGTAATTTGCTTACTAACTGAAAGTAGGTTTTATATATATGACTTTTTCTTGTATTTTTTTAAATCAAACATTGTAATTAAGAGGATTTCATTTAAATAGAGTGCAATAATTCACCAGACACATCAATTAAGTTTTTTTGTTTTTTATTTTCTGCTTTAAATTTTTTGTAACATGAATAGCAAATATTTTGACAAGTATTTTGTAAATGACTAATATTTTGTATTATTATAAGTTGTTTTTTAACAAATTAGAAAATATTGCTCCACATTTTTTTCTTCTAATAGACTTTAAGTACTAATGACTACGTCTTTATGTAAGAGTCTCTGTTTAGCAAATCATCAATGGAGACGCACATCCAACTTCCAATAGGGAATTACATCTTTTGTACATAAGATTTTCCTTCTTAAATACTGAATAGAAAATACAGTCTCTTGGTTATGGAACATATCTACTAAAGGCCTTTGTTTGTTTACTGCTAATCCAGACATTCTTTTTCAAACTCTGCTAAATCATTTTTTCTTTCTTAAATACTGAACACAATTTATAGTCTGCTGGATATGGAAAACGTCTACTGAAGTTCCACACGCTATCTTTCAATCTTTGTTAGGTCATTTTTGCTTTATGAGGAGGATCAAGCCATCTTGAATTATCCAATCGTCTCCATTGAACAGATGAAGGCTGTCATAAATTGGATTTTCTTTCTTTAGTAATGAACACAATTTATAGTCTGCTTGGATACAGAACACGACTACTGGATACCAATGCTTGCTTTATGCAAAGTCACATACAATCTTATTGGGTCATATATGCCTAAGCTTTTTTTCTTCTTTTTTTCAGCTTTGTCTTACTTCATTTAATCTTATTCTATAGCTCAGCTTTTTTTGCTTTCTTTCTTTTTTTTCTTTTTGCTTTATTTACTTATTTATTTTTTAATTTTTACTTTTTTGCTTTCTTTTTGTTTTACTTCATTTAGTTTTTTTATTTATATTTTTTGCACAATTCAGCTTGTCAGCTGATTACATTGAAATTTTTTTTTTGCTATGCATTTTTTTTTATTTTTTTTTTTATTTTATTTTTTTTTGTTATTTTTTTTTTTTTAATTTTTTTGCTTTAGATATTTTTTTTTGCACAATTCATAGTTTGCTGAAGGCCAATGTTAGCTTTTTACCAAGTCCCACACATTCTTCTTCAATCTCTGGTAGCTCATTTTTGCTTCAGGAGAAAGATCAAGGCACCTTGAAGGCATCCAGATTTGTGCATAGGCCATTATATGTAGGATTTTCGTTCCGAAGTACTCAGTTTAAAGTCTGCTGAATACAGATCACGTATACTGAAGATCAAAGGTTTTATATTAAGTCCCATACATTATCATTGAGTCATTTTTGCTTTTTTTTCAAAACTTTTTTTTAATTTTTGCTGAAAATTATTTTTTTATTTATTAATTTTTTTTGCACAATCTGCTGAAACCGGTAGATTATTTTAGCTGTAATGTTTTNTTTTTTTTTTTTTTTTTTTTTTTTTTTTTTTTTTTTTTTTTTTTTGTACAAGCTATTATTTTTTTTTTATTATATCCCAAACATTCTCTTTCGGTGTTAGCTGCTAAGTTATTTTTTGCTTTCTAAAAAAGCTATTCAGTTTTTTTTTTTTTTTTTTTTTTTTTTTTTTTTNTTTTTTGATTTTTTTTTTTTTTTTTTTAATATGAAGCTAATGCGTTGTAATGTCTAATCTCCACCTGAACAATCATCATGAAGGCTGGATGAGGCTCAGTGCACTCTGCTTTTTTGTATTTAGAATCATTAGCACTCCTGTCATATATACTGTCTTATAGATAGCAAAAACCATAATATTTCCTTCTATTTTCATACATGTTTCTATTCATTCTGGATCATTCTATTGCTTTGATGGTCCGAACAGCAAGCTATTTTTCATATGAGCTTCGGTTCTGTTACGTAGTTTGCCTTCTATTTAACCTCTATTTAAAATTAAATTGAAGTATTTTATTTTTGCAGGCAACCAATTTTTTTCTTATCCAGCTCATGAATGTATCTTCATTATTGCTATCTGCGGTGTGCTCACTAGAATGATCATGAATAGCTATTGCTTTCGGACTACTTGAAGTTTGCGTGCCTTCAGAAACCATGCTATTTTTTGGAACAGGTTTCTCATTTTTCGCAAACTCATCGATTTCCAAAAACTCTTTCAACTCCAGAACTTCCTTCTGCAATGCTGCATTTTTGCGCTTTAGCATTTCCCATTCCTCATTCAATTCTTCAACTCTTTTTATCAATACATCAGCATGCTTGCAATTATCACATTCGAGTTTTTCACGCGTTTGCTCAAATTCAGTGTTGGGTTTTTTTACTTGCAGTGGCTTAACACTGACATCAGCAACACGTTTTACGCCGTGATTTCTATGCATGCTAAGCTTTTGGTTTCCTTCTCTACAAAAATGCAGCCATATTGCATCTGGACCTGTTCCAATCTGACCGCCATTTTCAAAGAAACAATGCTCCATTGCTTTTGCAGCATTCCACCGCTTCCTTCGATCGGGCATCAGAAAAGTGTGCACAAAATTCAGTGCAAGCCTAATTTGCCCGTCTGCAATGCCCGTCGCAGGAAACAATCCACTCATGAAGCTTTTGAAAACATCCCCCTAAAAAAATACGGTTACAAAATTTTAATAGTGAATAATTTTTCGATAGTCAAAACGTTTTTGAAAAATATGTTTATATTCAGAGAAAATATATTTGTTTGTTTTATTTATTATTTTAAAATATCACATACACATAATATTTGGCATATTTATGGTTAATTCCGCTACTCTTTTCACGATTGCTCCCATCCGTTTGTGAAAGTTAAATCATTAGATAAAAAGTTATTAATATGCTTATTTGCGCACTTATCATTAGTTTGAAATAGTATCATAATTTATGTCTCTTAAAGTAAACATATTTTTTTTTACTCAATAATTAAACTTTATATATATTACACAGATCGCCGCAAAAGATTAGGCTCACATGAAATTTTTCTATAAATTCTAAAACAATCTATATTTTTTCCAAGCACTGTACTGAATATGTGTTAAATTGACAGAAAAAGATACAACAGGAAAGGAAAACAATTCCTTAAACATTAAAGCAGAAAAAATATTCGCATTTTGATCAGTTTAAACTGCCACAAAAGTTTAAACGCAAATAACTAACAACTAAATACAAGATTTTAAAATTTTGTATTTAGTATTTTAAAATTTTGTATTTAGTATTTTAAAATTTTGCATTTAAATGAAAACAATTTAAAATTTTCATAATTAATTTGATAAACCATTTTTTAATTAATTGGAATGCTTAGTTTTCCATTGAATGTTGAACATTGTCCATGTTTTCTAGATCGATCTAGAACTAGATCATGTTTTCAGTTGAAGTACTGATGAATACTGCTTTTCGTACCCTTATGGAACCTATAATGCAATACCTAATATTTTTTAATTTGATTTAGATCAGGATTAAGTGTTGGTAGGGGTATTTTAGAAGTGTTGTATTTTCTAAGTTTAAGCCATTGTTTTAAAGACGTAGATTTATGTATACTAGCACCGTCTTGTTGAAATAACTCTTGTTCTTCGTCTCACCAAATATTTCTCTGATGATCACTTAATGAGCACTCAAAAACGCTGAACCTTTTGAGCCAGAAAATTCAAAATGAACCTCAAAGCAATAGCGAAGCTCTACTATGATTCTTGTATCCAAAAGTTCCGCAAAAAATTTTTCCTCTAGTAGCAAAATTTATACTTTACAATATATTTTTTGTTTTTTAAAATAGATCACATTCCCTTGCTTCTATATTATCTTGATATATTTCTTGATCACCACAATGGTTTCAAGACTTATTGCATATATCGACGTCTGATATATGCTAATTGAATATTTCACCTCAGAAGCAACACTCACACTAAAACACAAACACTCATAGAGTTAAGCACACAGATTGCTGAACCCTGTGAAAGAGCGGTTTTGTGGATCTGATCAGGGCGAGACAAATCCGACTAACTTTTAGTGTATGGACCAACCTCGTACTAGTGGTAATTACCAGAACAATCGGGTCTCGACTTTAACAGAGGTACAAAATCTAACACAATTTAATACATCACTCAAATACATATTGATTAGCTTATTTGTAATTTGTTATCTTGTAAATATTTTAATATTTATTTAACTCGTTTTTATAATTAATTGACTTATTCAATTTTAATATTTTTGTAAATAATTCTATTTGTACTTTCATGTTTTAATTCAGTAATTACTATGGCAAAGTGGCATCTTCTCTCTCAACTCTCCGTCTTGCCATTTGTGTTCCTTTATGTGGCCAGTTTTTTTATAGACGTTTATTAACACGGGATGAATGGGTTATGTTAAAAAAAAAATTTGTTTCATTTTACAATTTTTGTTTCATTTTACATTTTTGGCTTATTTAGTTTTATTTTTGTTTCAATTTTTTTGGCGCTCCTCACGCTATTGTATTCATATATTTTGCTTTGGCTATATTAACACAATGCTAGAAAGCACTAATTTTTTCGGATATAATCATGTGAGCTGATGACGATATCTTTACTTTATATATATTATACATTATCATTGAGTNTATTAAATCAAATAACTACACTACTAACGAATACACTCATTATAAAATTAAGTTCAGGCTGTAAATTTATAGTGGAAAAGTTTTTGTAAACAAATCTGATAGAGATTGTTATCTGAGTTACCCAAAATAATTATTCTTTACATAATAATTATTATATTTTATTTAAAAAATTAAATCAGGCTATTAATCTTTATAAATATCTACCTGAAGAACGTTGAACAGGACAGGATAAATATCCCTGTTCCAATTTTCAGCGCAGGTGATTGCATTACTCAGAGCTTTGTTGGTAAATAGCTCCAAGACCAACACTCCATACGCCCACATGTCGAAAGCCTTGCCTTCAACTTCTGTCACACCCCCGAGTGATAGGCAAGCTTCAGGAGGTCTATACACACGCGGCAATCCAAGTTCATCTCTGCAAAACAAAATTAAATTATTATTTAAAATCCTCACCCAGAGAAAAAAGTAACACGGGACATTATAATCATTATAAATTTAGCAGAAAGAGTGACACCATCTTGTATGACAACCGGGTAAACACCATAGAGATGTTTGAAAATTAAAGACCCTTCACTCAACGTCAAGGTAACAAACACACCAATGCAGTTTTAAAGAGCTATAACGATTAAACGTATGCAATTTAGAAGTGTCAGTCTTAAATGTGCATTCTGTATTTAGCACTATTTTGTGTTAAAGTTAAATTTCATTTAAATGACAACATTTGTCCATTTTAACATTGAATATTGCTACAATTTCATTCTTTACAAAAACTATTTTAGGGTTTTGCCACTTTTTATTTAGTCCCCACATGATAATTCTGTAACCGAGACGCCATCTATGACCGAGAATATGACTTCCACACACACGTCACAGCCCGTTTATAGTGCGGACCCATTCACGCATTCATTCATGCATCCACAAATCGTAATTTTGACCAGAACAAACACCGATTCAGTTCCCCCAGAGGTATAATTTGTTATAGGAACATGGAGGACTTTTTGACCCGACAGATTTAATGTGCAACAGTCACCATTTACATCACTGGCGGTCTTCGACCGACTGGTATTGAACTCATGACCTCTCGGACATTGGCTCAACGCCCTACTAATCAGGCTATTCCGGCTATATTAAATTTATTAATGCAAGTAATGAATAAAAAGCATGTATTGCACTGCATTTTTGATTCATTGCACTTTTGGTAACATAAAATAATATATAAATAGTAATATATTTATTTTATATTAATATAATTAATTTAAAAATATAGTAATCAATTTAGTAATAAAAAAACTGAATATAATCATAAATTTAATCTTAAACATTAAAATACTTTAGGCAATTTATTTTGACGAATACTAAACAAATGTTAAAGGGCTCACCTTGGTATTGCCTTCGTCGCAGATGCAAGACAAGAGAAGTCAGATATGACAGCTCTGTAATCTTGCGATATCAAGATGTTATCGGATTTCAAATCCAAGTGACATGCCTCATTAGAGTGCAAATAAGCCAGACCACAAAGAGTGTCATAAAGCCATGATTTGAGGCAGTCTAGGGCACATGATTGACTCAAAAATTGCTCGTTTTGGACTGCCTCCTTCAAAGTGCCCCGGTGTACGGGCATTACAAAAACTCCTACATCAGGGTTACTGAAGCTAATATATTGCAGCAGGGGGATTATATTGGGGTGACGCATTTTTGGCCAAACTTCAATTTCACTTTTTTTAGTGACTTCAAGCGATACAACTTTGACGGCAACTTCTTGGCCAGAGAAGTCCATCATTTTGTATACGTCACCAAAAGCGCCAGACCCAAGCTTTTCGATGCATACGAAGTGATTAGCCTCTAAAATTTTCATGGCATTTCTTTTGTGCTGGTATCGCTGCCCTGATGAATCAGGGAGCATGGGTTCTTCTTGACCCAAATCATGATCATTTTCATCCAAATGATCACCCATTTCTCAAAACTCCTTTCTCAAAGCGCAGGAAAATTTTTCCCAAATCAATTTTGCTATTAAGCAAGAACTCTAAAGCACACAATCAGTGTTGAAAGCACAAGTTAGAATGATCAAAAATGATTTTACAGCCGTATTTTAATTGTTAAGCAATAATGCAATTTTTAATACAATGAATTCTTAATTACATTTTCTATTGTTAAAAATTAAAATTCGACAACTGATTGTTAGAAAATAATAAATGAAATATAGTTAAAAGTTTATATTGTTGAAGTTCTACTATAAAATACTAAGTAAAAACATAAGTTTTTTTAAATGATAATTTCTAATTACCCATACGTTCCACTAAACAGGGAAATTCGATATGACTTCACGATGTATTTATTTAAAATCTCACAATAGTGGTTAAACAAGGAAAAATAACTAAATAAAATACAGATACAAGTAGAAAACTCTATCGTCTTTCGAATTCTTAGTGATGAAAGCTGGTCGAAAAAGAAATCAAAATCTATTTGATTGCTTTAAAACTTGCAAGTGTTTCGAGTAATCATCTCTTTAACTCTTATTTTACTTTCGGTTATCGAACAGTTCCTATTTTTCAGTAGTGATCTCTCCTTTACTTAATGAATTCATTTAAGAGCCTTAATGAGCACATTTTTCTTCTATTTCAATTTAGCAATAATCGAAAAAATATATATTCAGGGTGATGATTATAGAACGTCCTGTGTGTTCCCTTTGTTCAACTCAATGCATATATTCCTGCTTTATAATTTAGGCAGTTTCGCAAAAAAAAACATGTCAGCAAAAATTGTGCAAACATTTGAAAAACTAAGGACCTTTTATTGAAATAACAAATCGAAACTTCAAAACTTTTTATTTTGTTTGTTAATTCACCTTTTCTTTATTAAAATACAACAAAAATGAAATGGCAAAAAGTTCAACAAATTTCGAAAGCCTGAAAATAAGACTCTCCCTCTTTAATTAACGGTATTACTAAAATTTAATTTTTTGTCTGGGGTTGTGACAAATCTGTTTGTTTAAATTTCTTACAATTTTTAAAAATGGTACTCAATAGTTGGATGAAAGCTGTCAGAGTGCAGATGTTCGTGCAGAGAGTAATGTGCAACTGTACACCACTTTCTACAGCCACATCTGCTCCGTGTTAGACTTGCAGATTCTCTTGACTGCATTTTGAGGGAAGAAAATACTGACATGAATATAAGGCTACTTGTAGTACAAAAAAACACGACCATAGACACACATAATAGTATACAATAGCTTAATATTATTTCACGAGAATATTAATAAATATGTTTTGTTGTTATTCATAAGCATGTTATATTCATATTAACTCTCCAAAACATTTGCTTGATATCACTCAAGTCATTCTTTTTTTTTTTTATTGAAGTAACATTAACACGTTGAATGCCACGCTAATTTTTCATGGCTTGCCCGTCTGGCCAAACGGTAAATAACTACAAACTAAATTTGCAAATATTAGACAGATTTTGCTAGTTTTTTTAAAAGGTTTTGCGTGACATATCTGTCTCGTCTTGAAATTTGAGCAGATGCCGCTAGGAATATACTCAGCACCGGTCATCGGTCACCCCCATGGTATTCAAAGTGTTAGGTTATTCAATTTCATATTGAGAAGGGATTTAAAGTCTCTGCAATTCTCAGTTTATTGTCAGTTTATTAAATTTGATCGCGTTTATTTACGATTCGGTGAAATTGGGAATCTCATTCTGCAAAATGGGAATTCTTCCCCTCCCAAAAATATATGTTATCGGCACTGATCCCGGACTTAGCATGTGGATTGATTAATATATGAATTGAATTACATATGAAATTAACACGAGTAGATACTACTACTATATACTATTTGCATTGCATTAAGTTTAATTAATAGAGTAAATCAAAGCTATGCTTTGATCTTGAACGATAATTTCATTAAAATATTTAATTTTGCACTTTAAAACTGTACAATTTGAATTTATTGAAAAGCGTGTATCGCCATCAGTGGCGTAGTTTGGAGGGGGTTTATCTCGTTNATATATATATATCCAAACTCTCCCCAAAGCTACACCACTGATCACCATCTTCAACCATTACTTGTTCATTGCCAGATGAAAGTCTTCTCCATACTTTTCAGAAAAATTCAATTAACTGGTCATATTTTCCACCAGTTTATGCCTGCTCTCTGCTTCATCAGACCACCTCGTTTGTGGCCATTTTTAGGGGGTACATGAAGTCACGAAACAACTAATTAAAGACGTTGCAAGTCTTGCGGCTGCCAATATTTCGAAATAAATGGTAGAGAATGAATTCATATGGTATTTTATCTTTAATTACGGTGGATTTTATTTTTACTAGCTTTTAACCCTTTGCAGTCGTATTAAGTTACATGCTGGTAGGAATTAATTTTCGTTGAACGAACAGTAATACATAATATGCTAGATTATGATGTAAAAATAAAATTTATTAATTCTTTCTTAAACTTTAGATATGTGCAACTCAATAATATGCTTTAACTTTACGCAAAAATTATATTTTATAGCTCTCCATCGTGTGGTATCTTTCAAAGCAGTCTCTAATATAAAGTCTTAGTTTTCCTAGTCCTAGTGTTTTTATTTTATTGGGCACCTGGGCCGCGAAGTGACCCCTCTCCCATTCATCTGGAATTTTAACACTGGTTTTGTTGAGCATTGAGGTAAGCAGGCAGTGGAGTTGCTTTTATGAATGTTTCAAGCACTTTGCTTGAATAACTGAAAAGGAATCAAAAAATAAAATGAGCAGCTTTCTCTAAACTGTGTTTGTTTGATTTTGGAGTTGTTCAGAATTGTATCAGCATGAGGAAACGTTATAATCAGAAAGATTGATGAAATTATTTGTTTTGATAGTCATGATATGAGGCGTCGGAGGTGAAATGTGCAGCTATTGGTCTGTAGTTTTTATCTTTGATATAATTTTCAAATTTAAAGATTTCACTAAAATTTGCTGTTTTACATTCTATGGCTTTATCGAAAAAATCTGCGTTTAGCTTGTATATATGCTGTGAAAGCCTTAGTTTTCGAGAACATGTGTCGCAAAAAAAATTATTTTGGTGTCTTCCGCCTTTAATTTTTCTATCTGAAAACATACATAACAGTCTTTACTCTTTATATCTTCACAGTGCCGCAATGCATGTAATTTGCAATTAAGCTGTAGCTAACATCTCTGATGTGGTGGCTGAGAGCAGACATATGACTGGAACGGTAAAAAAGAGTTGGTGGCTGAGAGTAGACATATGACCACAAAATGTTAATATATTCATCAGACATATACTCCCTAAAATCTAAAGGTTTCGATAAAAAATAAAAAAAAATTCAGTAATCATGAACATGAACTGAAAATTTTTAAGCATATAGAATATATTAACGGTATTTTAGCGTTTAATATGTCCTCTAAATTATTTATATATGGTAGTGAACAAAATTGTTTTTATTCTATTTTTAAAATATGAAATAATAATTTTATGAACTAATACTAAGTTATTACCTAGTATTAGTTCAAACTATGACTATTCCCTGAAACTATGAAAATTCTGTAGTAGTTGGAGAGTATAAGAAACGAGTGAAGTAAGGATGGCTTAAGGTTGGTTTCTAGTTTGAGAATTTTGTGATTGGTTTCAAGTTTGTGGTTTCTAGTTTGAGAATTTTGTGATTGGATTGGTTGTAAGGAGACCAAACTTGTGTATCTACCAACTTATTTTAATAATATTACATTATATGTATGGTTATAAAATCTAGTCAGCAATTGTCTGGGTAAGGGCCATTTAGGCCTCAGATGCCCAGCTCTACAACAACGAACGAACGAAGTCTGCAATTGTCCCCCCTCGGGGTCTGATCAGGGGTAAGTACTTTAATTGTACTTTAATTTTACCTTTTTTCATGTAGTTTTTTATTACTTGTAATTTCGTTATTACCTAATAATGGCGAAGTGCCATTTTTTTTCCTCAAGAACGCCATTTTGCTCCCCAAACTAAATTTTTGTCATATATGTTTCTTAGTCTAATTTCGGGATGGAAAAGGGCCGTAAGACCTCAGACACTCAGTTCCACTACAACGAACGAAAGTTTGCAATTGTCTTATAGTAACATCACATTACCGACAACTATGCTGACCTTAGAGACTCAATACAAAATTGAGCTTAAACTCACGATGAAAGGGATAAGTGTTCAGATAAATCGTACCACCAAGACTAGGTCAGCAATTGAATCTTCAACTCTCTTTAATAACCGAATTCCAAATGTTTCAAAGGCCAGTAATCTTGGCCTAGTACTAAATTTAAATTTCACTTTGAATGACCAATGTATTGAAGATCTAAAGCTAATCAACAGTTGCAATAAATAAATTCAAGCTCTCTTAACATCAAAATTAGATTTTTAACTAAATCAGTTTATTAATGCAGAGATGCCAACTTGCCCCCGCTTTGTAAAACAATATTTTCTAGTGGTAACGAGATTTAAGCTTTTTTAGCGTATTATTTTTCGATTCAAGTAATTTTTTCACCATTCTATATCAAAAATTCAAAGTATCTATGAAATGAAAATTCATTCCAATTGTCTCGTGGTGACACTTTTTAAAGAATATGCATAGTTATCCTTATTTTACAAGTTTTTCCATTTTATTCGCTAGAAATTTTTTAAATTTTTTTGCACAAAGCGAAACTATTGGCCAATCTAATTAATGTTTCAATAATAAGAAAAAGTATTTGCATATGCATTGCCAGCATAGTACAATACTTCACAAACGCAAATAATTAAACTTGTCACTTTCTTAAATGAAGCTCTGAGAAAATTAACTAAAGCAAGATGGTTCCTACGAAACAAAGACCTCCATAAAGATTTTAGATAGAAAGATGCAACAAGCACGTTGTCAAGTTAAACCAGAAATTTTTGAAAAAAGCTCTAAAGGACAACATAGCAAACTTTAATCATTTTTTTCAATACCGGAACCTTGAGG